GTTTAATATGGTCGGAACAATGGGATGTCGGACCAATGGGCAGACCCCGCTCCCCCTGTGGCTGAATGTTTTGTTTTTTCTAATTTTTGTTATGACTAAGTCATGGTATGGTATGCTGTCTTCAATGGGTATGGACTTGTAAACTATATTTCTAGTTTGTTTATGCTGTTTTGCAGCAGTTTATTGTGTGCTTTACCATTAATTAATCGATTTAAATGTCATTAAAACACTTTCATTACCTCACTAATTAATATGAATATTTTATTTTAAAAAATTAGAAACTTTGAGATATTTGAAGGTAAAACAAAACTGAATGGACACAGTGTTGTGGTTGTTTCAGTAACTACCTACAACATGCTAGAGTGGAGGACCACCGTTAGAGGCCGTGCTAACGCCATCTTGTTGTTGTTCCCCGGAAGTGCGTCACCTTCCTCTTCCGCCGCGGCTCCGGCGCCTGTAACACGAGTTATCATCTTTTCCCTCTTAACGTGAGGCGAAGTAAAGATACTGGATCGACTGGAAACACGTTGCTGACAAAATGGTGTGTATATTCCTCGGTGACGGTCTTGTATTAGTTAAATGATTCCCAGAATAACGTTTATCCTCTTACTGAAACTGTTAGCTCCAGTTTAGCTAGCATTTTTAGCTACCCGGGCTAACGTTAGCTTTCATATTAGCCGCCGCTAACATATGTGTTAGCCTCTGTTAGCGGCGTGATGTGGGCGATGCAGGGTGATTCACCGGCCTCTGACAGCAGGTGGAGCTGGACAGGTGTACCGTGTGTGCAGATTAATGAGTAAACTCAACGTTAATATCAGGTTTGTCAGCACAGACCACAGCCTTAGTTGGGTTCCCTGCCAGGCAGCGCCATAACAATGAATGGGGTGAGCTGCTCAACTGAAGACTGTTTGTATCTCAGGTTGACAGATTAAAGTCTTTTCTAAATCATTCAGACTGTCCAGATACTGATGTACGCTGCTCCCCACAGAAACCCATCCTGCTCCAGGGCCATGAGAGGTCCATCACTCAAATCAAGTACAACAGAGAAGGAGACCTGCTCTTCTCTGTAGCCAAAGACACGGTGAGATCATAGTGATAAAATGTCATCATGTTATTCTACCTGCTTGTATGTTTAGCGTTAACTTGTATTGTCATGTGTCTCACTGTAGGTAGCCAACGTGTGGTACTCTGTCAATGGAGAGAGGCTTGGCACCTACAATGGACACACAGGAGCTGTGTGGTGTGTCGACTGTGACTGTATCCTTTACTGAGATGTACACTGTTGTTTTAACTTGAACATAGGGCTGAGTGATAGGGGCAAAAAAATTATATCTCGGTATTCACAGGCTGATTGGTGATACACGATGTACATATTTATTTTCTATGAAATGGGCCCCATGTTTAAAGTTGCAAGTCAAAGCGACATTTGAGATGTCACAAGCACTTTTATAAACACAGACTGTGATCAGATTAAAATGCAAAGACGGGGATTTTCTACCCTGTTTGAAAATAAACAGCTGCACAACTGAAAAATGATGCATAGAATAAATAAATAGAGCTGTACGTTAACTTTATGCACACAGCACTGGAGCTACAGAGGTTTAAAGGTTTGCAGCACAGGACACAAAACTATAACGTGATTATAAAAGGTATTATATTATCAAGTAGGTTTGAAACAATTAAAAATCTTTGTGGGCAGAGTTGAATGAATCTAGTTGTGGAAAATTATTTAAATATTTTTATTTATTAAGCCTACTAATCTCAGTTATGCACAGAGCATCAACAAAGAGGCCGAGGGAGGGATGGAGACAGAAGCCCTTTTTAAACAGGAATTGTGCAAATTTGCAGGAAAGTCCAATCAGTCTTTTTTCAGCATTGGCAGTATAAAAACAAAATCGGGGAGTGCAGCAAAATGCCGCCTACCTACTTTTGTTTATACAGAATGTGCCTTTTTTGGGGCAATGGGGGGCGTGAGCAAGTAACAAAACATGTAGCTCAGCGTGTGACGTAAACAGTGACGTGGGAGGGAAGCCGCGGCTGGTCAGTCCTTCGGTGATTCTCTCGTAAGTCGGCCCGTCCTTCACCGTCCCCGTCATCTGATGGTTAATGGCCTCTTCGTTTGCGAGGACAAGGAGGGCGCACAATTCCTTGTCTCCCCAGTTGCTCATCTTTATAGTGTCTGTCAGGTTTGT